CCTTAACTATTCCTATGCTAGTTCTGCTTCGTACCGTACACTCCGTCCTTCGGCCGTACAGCAGATCTAACTATCTGTTACTATAACTTAGCGCTCGACTAACATATATATATATATATATATATATATATATATATACCTTGTCCACTGAGGTTTATTATTGGTTATCACAGTTGTATCCAGAGCTTTAAATAATTGTTTCTTTTTCATCAAAGTACACACAGGTGAGTTCAGGTACTTTAGAACACCCCCTTGACAAGACAAATTATTCTTTTCTATTCTGTTGTTACAATCAAGCTGTAAGACTCACTTTAGAAATTGCTCATTATAGCTAAACTGACAATTGAACAGTCTAACTTCACTTTCACTAACTTAACTTACTTGCACTAACTTGGTCGCCTATATATGTATATATATTGGCCGACTGAGGCCTAGAACTTTTTACAAACTACGAGATAGTGTGATGTAACAATACTCACTTAAAGCAATAAGAAAAGTTCAGAAGATTCAAGTAACATGACATCAGTTCACAACAATGAACTATGCAACAAATGATTTGTAAACAGTTATGTAAGTAAACTGGCTATAACTATGGCTTCTAAAAATAACTTCCTTTAACACTCACACAATAAGTTAAGTAGTACTCTCATATTAATCTTGAAATGAACAGTCATATATACCTAACACAAGACATGTTTGAAATGGTAACCAATATGTGGAGGGAGCACCATCCTGCATAAAACATGTAGTACCTATCACATTTCACTGCTACAGTATGGAAATCATGATGGTTTTTAGTATCACATGTTACCATGCAGCTTTGACTATGTAGGTTTGTAGGCCATGCTGATGGTTCTTCAAAGATGTAGGGTCCAATAACAAAGTCAGCTCAGAAACACACAACACTGTCACCCTTAGCATCATTGAGATGTGTAGGAAATGCTAAATGTGGATTAATTTCTGAGCAAATAATGCTGTCTGCACGTGTTGATAATTTCAGTCTTGCCAAGAACTGCAGCACAAATTCAACATGTCATGTTAAATCCATCTCCTTTAGTGCTTAAGTATGATAAAGTTTGTAAAGAAACACTTGCAAAGTTGACCTAAGAGCCTTATGAATAGCTGAAATTGGAAAATAGAGACACTAGGTGAAATAACATGCATTGCTATATATAGTTGGGCAATTATTGTTATTGCCTAATCAATGTCCTCAGTGGCTGATTACATTTGATTAACTGATTAGTACAGTGTTCCTCAAACCACAGTATGTACAATCAAAATATTAAAACGTTAGTGGTGGGTGCTGCCAGCCAGTTGCCTTCCCTTTAGTCACTAGTCCAAAGTTGATGATAATGGTAAATAGTCTTAGTAGCTTTCCCATAACAAGGCAAGCAAGGTTGATGGGAATATTTCAATTACTTGGAAAATAGGAATAACTGAAAATAGTAATAATCATAATCCCTAATTTTGGTTAGTTAATTATTTTTGTGAAAATTGATATAATCAGAATTTTGATTAATTGATTGCTGGAATAATCAAAAACAGTAATAATCAGAAATACTAATTTTGATTACTCTATTTAATCATAATTTTGATTAACTGATTAGTTTATTTAACACATATCAATGTAATTGCTGCTCATAAGTAACCAATTATATTGATTAATCAATTAAACCAACTAGCCCTACTGCTGCACCCATGTGCACTTCTGCTGGCTTGTTCAGCTATAGCATGGCTGAGTTTAGTTATAATTTCAGTAGATGTTGGTAAGTGGTTTATCACAAGTTCAACCTGTCAAATTTTTGTTACGAACTTGCACACAGCAACATTAGAACAAGACCCTCTGTGGTTTTCCTTGAAAGCTTCCTCAGCATTGCATCCTTTATTGTAATAACATTTCACTAGTTCACCTCTCTACACACTTGTCAATTTCATGTTGGTTGAATGAGCTTCCCTGCAATCAACAGACCCATTTATCCCAAGTGAAATATGTAAAAGAAAACACAGTAGCACCCCTGGTAGCAACATGTGACTACTGTGGCATTTACATCTTCACAATATCCTTAACATTCCTATGCAGTTTTACTTTTTTATGTCATAGTGTTTGTGAGATAAGACTTGCTGAACTGTAAAACTTTCTTTATAACTACCCTGTATATATGTATCACAGTAAAAAGTTCATTTAAATATGTTTTAATAAGATCTTGTTAATTCAACTACCTAAAATTAACAAAGCCATCAGACCTAAAAAGTTATTAAATAAGAGAGAAACCTTTGCCACTATAAAAGAAAGTTTGAAAATGTTCAGCTTTCCAGGACTTCTTTCTTTTTTTTTTTTTCCTATAGTGTTGAAAACATACTACCACAACAAAGGGAGTAATCTATTATATAACATAATATGTGATTGATAAACAGTTAATACTGGTCAAATCTGCAATTCTCAACTGGTCAAGATATAGGTTTTATCACATAATGCAAGTTAGTTCTTTAACTGAAAATAAGTATGAAACTCTAAATAAGATAAACTGTTACATCAAACACAAATGAGATTTATAGGGATTTAAATAATGTTAAATCATGAAGAAGGCTCTAAGAAATAGTGATCTAAGAACTGATAACGAATAAATTGAGCTAGTTAACAACATGAAATAAACAAAACCTTAAAAGGGTAAAACAGAAGTCATTGATGTACCCAGAAAAAGCTATAACAATAAATTAATTGAAAGCAATACTTAAGAAATACTTAAACCATTATAAGATTAATATATCATCTTACCAGAAACTGGGAAAAGCCATCATACTCATCAAAAACAAATGATACAATTTATATATACACAATAAACCATTCTTTGAATATTCCTATTTGATAATTTTTACCGTTTGATTAGGTATCTCATATCATAAAATAGTAACTGATATGTAATTTTAATAAAACTAAATCCACAATGTATAAACTTATTCCTCAAAACAACAACTTGTAAGTATAAAGTTTATCTTTAAACATATTGTTGCGTCAGCGAGGTCACGTGACTAGTATCACGCCACTC